CCCTGCCTCATGCCCTGTGATGGCCTGGCATCCTGTCCAGGCTGTACCCCTGCCTCATGCCCTGTGATGGCCTGGCATCCTGTCCAGGGTGTACCCCTGCCTCGTGCCCTTTGATGGCCTGGCATAATGATAAATCCTTTATTTGCCATTTGCACAAGTACATTGGAATGCTTCTTTTCACCTCCCCCATCTTGGTCTCCATAGCTTGAGGGTCACAACACAGGCTGAGTCAATGTTCAGTGCCCCTGGAGATGGGGGGGAAGGACCTTGGGCTCAAACCGGCAATTTTCTGATGACGGATACAGAGACTTAGCCCACTGTCCCACTCACCGATAGAGGAAGATATGAATTCAGTTATCTCTTCTTTTAAGATGAACACAAGAGGATTAAGTGCACAGAACATTTTCCTGTTTCGATCTTTAAAGTCCATTAAACACTTTGCTTTTGTGAATCAGCAAATGCCACTGCAGGACAGAAAGGAATATTTTAGTTTAGCTTCCCCCTGTTTCCTTTAATCTTACGAGAAGATGCGTGCTTTGAAGTCACCAGGGGCTCATTAACACTAATTAGTTTGGGTCACCAAGATCCGCCTGACGGGAGAAGTCTTCCCTCTTCCTTCTTTGTAAGGCAATGCAGGAAGTTACGCGTGTCAGAGTGCAGGCAGTAGTTATGCCGCAGTGTATCCCCGGTCCCTTCAGTCTCCTTACCTACAGTATGACACCATTGTTCTTAACACAGACCCAGAAGAAAAGGGTTACAAAGGGACTGTTAGCATTCTCAGTAAAAGTTGTTTAAAATGCATCATAATAGTGGCTTGTGTGGTGAGCGAACACGTATTGTAAACAAGCATCATGTATTGTTTTGTGCGCACAGCTGGGGAACAGCTGGGCCTGGTAGACATGATTACAGAGGTTATGGTGCCCAGGCGCAACCCACAGGAGAACTAGGAGAGATCTGCTTCCACATGATTTGACAGGTTAATTATGTCAGTCAGCCAAGGATTTAATATGACATTTTTTTTAAATGGTCTTTTGCTCTCTATTGTTCCCACACTTCTTTCTTGCTTTGCAAATCTTTACCCAGTTCAGTGATTCTTGAAATAGGATGTGTGTTAAAATAGCTGTCTACTGAACCCAAAATCTGAACGTGCTCAGGGCCACAGACTGAGTAAACTTAATTTCCTGAAGTTGAACTGTATGTCCTGCTACTAACAATAACTGTTTTCCTTAAGCACGCCGCAACTTTACTTCTGTCTCTGGAACGATAACAATCATCTAAACAATCTAAACAAAGATGCTGCACATCTATTTGAGTCACTGGGTCTCTGCTTAAGTGATTTTTCATACAGTGTCTTCTATTGATGGTTTCCTTTCCAGTCAGTTCAGTCTGAAATGGGGAGAGCCTGGTATGTGCCACACTTCAACTTATTAAAAACAGACCCAAAAAAAACAGGAAATACCCCCTTTCCCTAAATTTGCAGCCAACACCGTTTTGGCTTGGAGGGTTATAAATGTAGCCAGTGCAGAGGATATCCTCTCAGAGCCAGTGGGTCAGGAGCTTCTGACCTGTCCTCACCACCGCATAGGCACTTCCTGTGGGGCAAAGGTCTAGACTAGCAACTGGTAATGATACCGCCTCCGTGTGGCCGAGGGTCTTAAGGAAGTGTCACGTGACAGCGGCCCGGTGCCAACCAGGGGTGGGCTTCCCCTGAGGGTCTGGTCCCCCCAAGGTGCCTTGCTTTCTCTGATGAAGCTTTTCCTTACCACAGGCTTACTCTTTGGAGTCCTCAAGTGCGGGTGAAATTCTTTGTGACAACGGTTTTTGTTAAAAGCACTGCAGCGTTTCCAGTGGTAACATCTCTCCATGGCGGCTCACCATGGTAAAAAAAAATTCACTTTACCATTATGGAAGACTGAGTGGGAATGAAATTCGTATGTGAAAGGGGGTCACACACCGGGAGAGACTGACTTCCCACAGCCAGCCTGCTAAGTTCGACAGTTAGACTGTGTGCAGTGCAGTTAGGCTGAGTCACATGCACTGTTAGGCTGTGTGCAGTGCAGTTAGGCCATCACATACACAGTTAGGCTGTGTGCAGTACACTTAGGCTGCGTCAAATACACAGTTAGGCTGTGTGCAGTTTACATAGGCTGCATCACATACACAGTTAGGCTATGTGCAGTGCAGTTAGGCTGAGATACAGTTAGGCTATTTGCAGTACAGTTAGGCTGAATCACATACACAGTGAGTCTGTATGCAATGCATTAAGCAGCTGTTACTGTACGTTGTTGAGTAAAGAACTGGAGGGATACTGCTGAGGACTTAATTTAGCAACCAGTAAAAAAGTAGTTATAACTGTCACTGAAAAGTAACTAACCTACATTAATTTATATGATTATTGTTTGCTTATCGGGCGGCACCTTGCCATCACTGAACAACAAGAATAATAAAACAAATGTACTACAATGGTCTGATGTCTGGTCTGCATTTTTTCAGTAGCACCCCTCAATGTCATATTGTCCCCATGCCAAGCTCTTGATCCACAGTATACACTGCATTTTATAAGTCAATTTAATTAGATTTAAGCAGGAAATTAGGAAATTAGGATATGTGGATGTATAGCTATTACGTAGTGATGCTACTCCTTATTGCAACAAAATGTACCTTTGGGAATCATCAAATTCAAACAGAATGTTCCTTGCTTATGTTATGAAGAGCAATAGGTTTGTTTTTAACATTGGAGTGAAAGCACTTTAATTTGGTGTTCATCTCACAGTTTTAGTAATATACTATTATCCAAATAGCCTTTTGGGGATCATATTTGTTGTTGGTAGAACATAATGTAGAAGATGAAGAAAGTCGGCCACTTCAGTTTGAACACAGGCCATTGATTATCTTCTGTGTACTTCCAAAACGAAAATGTTCCTTAAAAGTTTGCATCTGACATGATTTGTGTGGCCTTTTCATCTCATATCCCTTTCATTCACTGGCGGTAGTACATGCCCCTAATGGTGAACTTGTTTCCAAGCTTCTTCTAATGATACTTTTCTCTTTCTCTTTTTCTTTTCTTCCTGCCTTGGTAATAAAACCTCTCCCTCCTGCTTTGCTCCTAATATTTTCTCCACTTCCCCTTTTATTTTGTTTTACTTCACTATTAAAATTTGGTTTGGCTCCAATCTCCTCACCTTCCCCCCCCCCCCCTAACCATAGCACCTCCTTGGGAATCGCCAGCTATCGCTGAGATACACAGCCCTGACCATCAGGAGTACAGTAAGTTGTGTTCTTAGGCGTATGTCACAGCCACAGTCTGTCTCATGCCCTCTCCTTTTATCCTCTATTAATGTGCAGCTTGCACGTCTGGTTCAGTGGGTTAGGTCAGCCAAGTGGTTTCACCATTGGGCCCCCGAGCCAATCTTTTAACCCCCAGTTGTTCTTGGGATTATCTGACCTTGCTTTCTCAAAAAATGTGCATCGGTTTGGATAAAAGCATCTGTTAAATACCTGTGATGTACATTACCTGTTACTGCTTTTTATTTTCGAAACACTTCAAGGAATAAAGGTTACTTTAGTGAGAGGAGTGTCATGCCAGGGCATGGTCAGAATGAGGAAATGAGAGTGACGATCCATTGAGCATCTCCAAGACAAAAAGGGAATTATTAATTAATTTAAACAACAAAGGGAAAACCACCAAAATAAAGGGACCATGATGGGTCAAAATTAATGGGAGAAATAACAACTAACAAAGAACCATAAGAAAACATACTAGGGAAACCAGGCAACAAAGGGAGCGTAATCAGAAAAACCAAACAAGCAGAGCAACAACGTGCAGTAACATGGGCAATAGCAGACTGAAGAACAGGATAGAACAGGGGTTCCTAATCCTGTGTTCATTAGTGTGAGCTACTGTACCCCACCTGTTGCCTGTTTTCCCTGCGCCCTTGCTGTTGGTTAATTGTCTTATGTGCCACACCTGCTCCCTCGTTAACCCGATTGTCTGTTTGTGTCTAAGGGACTTTTTCTACCCCAGGGGTCTCCAACTCCGGTCCTGGAGAGCTACTATCCAGTAGGTTTTCTATCCTACCTGGCTTCTGATGAGCCATACCTGTTCTCAGGTAAATACCAGGAGCAGGTATGGCTCATCAGAAGCCATATTAAAACAAGGAACAAGCGTACAAGGGAAATAAATAACTAATAAGAAACATCAAGTAAAACAGAAAACCAATAATTAAACAAAACAGGTAAGGCTTGTTCCTGGGCACCTCAAACCCATGACCAGAGGGCTCTCAGCCTAAGGCTCATCTTCAGCCTGTTTAGCTATGCAGCGGTACAGGTAGAAAGGAGAAACAGACCAGGGTGAGAAGCAGGGAGGAGAAAGATGGGATGACTAGCGACTCCTGCTGGCCAAAACAGGGAAAAGACACAAAGGGCAGGGTTGGACCTTGCCCGCCCCATACCGCAAAATGGCGCTTTTCCATTGCTAAGTATGCAAGCCGTACCTGAGCTGTAACTGCACTGACATGGCCTAGCAAGGCCGAAAGCGTGACCAAACTGAGCTGCTTGTGTCGCCACCATTTGATTGATCGAAATGCTCGGGGATACCGAGGGTCTTAAGGGATGTTCTGTGCATGCATTATCTAAAGAAAAAATTGTATATTCTATATATTAGTCATTATTAGTAGTATTGCACGACTTGAAAACCTCCTACTTAAAGTACTATAGAACAGCTGAATGGAATGAATTCGTAATGCAAATTTACGCAATGCTGCACAGAGCTACCCAAAATTAAGTGCTACACAAAATTAAACTAGATCTGCGTAAAGGATTTAGCTGTTTAATGAGTTTCCAAGCCCGTGGCAATATAAGATTTCCAAACAGGATATGAGATGGGTTCAGTGTTCTGTGTGGTTTGTGTTTATGTTGTGGATCGTTAATACGATCCGATTCCATAAAGAGAGATCTGTGAACAGTTTTAATTTTATGAGCTAATACAGACAAAGGTATCGATGTTCCATGTCAAGATATTTCGACTTTATGGAGGGTATTCCAATTCCATTTAACTTTCAGTACATTATTCAATAAATTGCATGACATGTTCATTATGCATGACACTTTATTATAAAACAGGCTTTGTGTTAATGATTTAGCCCAGTTGCAGGCTAATGTAAGTGTTCTAAGCATGTTTAAGGTAGGCTATGGAATGATGCTATGATGTTTGTTTGTAGGTGTACTGTATTAAAATGCATTTTCGCCTTATGATATTTTCACCGTATGATTTTACTGGATCATAACCCCGTTGTAACCCTGGGAGTGTCTGTACTTGCATAACACGGTAAATCAAACATGTGCTAGTGGAAATTAGCACACAGTAAAAAATAATAACTGCACATACTAAATAATGATGTACACCGTGTGAACAGTAAATAAGCGTCTCTTCGGTTTTATGTCACCGTCGCACTCAAAACCCAGCAATGCCTTTACTGAGACGGCCCTTTTGCAGTGGAAAACCAAAGTGGCTGGAACTGTGCTGTAACTAATCTGTCTTTGCAGCACGGCTCGGGTACAGGTCAGTTCCTGTATGCCAGTGGAAAAGTGCCATTTGTTTAGAGTAAATGTGTGTGGACTTAGCATGGAGTACCTGGTTGCATTGGGCTACTTGGTGAACCCCATCCCTCTTTTACAACATCAAACCTGTTTTAAGAATCAGTGATAAGGAGGTGGAGGGATGCTGTATGTATCTAACATACAGTCTAGATATGTGCTGTATTTATTGTACATTGTTCTGGGCCAGTATTCATTTTAAATCCCCTTTGTGAAGGGCTGGTCAGAATTAAACAAGCAATTTGTAATTCATTTATTGTCATAGCATTTGAAATTGGAATAAATATGCCAGGACCCTTGTAGAACACCAAGAATCTTCCCACGAGTAGAACAGAATCTGACATGCTAAAAGGGATATTATGTTTACATTATGTATGGTCAGAACACTGGGTTTTAAACCTTTTTGCTAAGCTTTGACTACAGCCCACATTCACCAAATAAGGCCTGAAACAGCAGATGTTTTTGCTAAAGTACCAAAACAATCAACAACCTGTGCTTTCTTATGAATGAACTGCTGTAAAGCTCATTGAATCACTGGTGACATCATAACACAGTATAATGAGTTATGACACTTGATTGTTTTTCATACTGTAACCATCTCATTCATAAAAATGGACTGTCATGCATGCATGTTTACTAGGCATCACTATGAGGGACTTGATTAGGACCTCACTAGGTCACAGAAAAACCAGTCATAAGAAGCATAGGGTTACCCTAGTTGGTAGCATGTTACTGAAGCTGCCTGGTGTGCAAGTTTGAGTCAGATTCAACTTTAGGGGCAAACAGTCCTCCCATAAGTCTCAATTTGAAAGAGAAGATTCTCTCAGCTGTTCAGCTCGTCATATTTAGACCCCAGATGGAAAATAGCATTCCGCTAGCAGCTAGTGTGTTACTGAAGCTGCGTGGTGCTGCAAGTTGGCGCCGGAGTGCTCTGTTATGAAAGAAGCAGGGTCACATCAATTTTAGGGGCAAACAGTCCCGCCATAAGTCTCTGTTTGAAAGAGAAGATTCTCTCAGCTGTTCAGCTCGCCATCTTTAGATGCAGATGGAAAATAGCAGGGGTCTACACTAAAAGATGCCAAATCCAAGAATAAGTCCCCCCCCCCCACTGATCTCCCACCACGAAAGCAGGAGAAAGGAGGTTCAGAATCGGCAGGCTGGCAGTGAGGCTGGAGGCCATTTCTTACAGCCATGCTCTGTCCCGCCATTCTGTGTTGTGGGTGGATCAGGTTTGAAGGTCGAGCTGAAAGCGACGAGGCTCCCAAAGCTGAAGCAGCCGCACCAATCAATTGGCCCTTTGTTCCCACCACAGGGCCCCGTGTGTTCCGAGGGCTTCCGGACAAAGCCACCACAGTTTCATGCACATGCCTTGATGGTAAAATAAGTTTGTGAATTTAGGGCCTGGAATGTGATTTTTCCAGCCACGCCCACTCTCGCACCCCTACGCAACCTTATACCCATCCCCGTTTCGGTTCCTTAAAGCTTGATGGGAAGGGGGTCTTCTCCTGTGGAAACAGTGACCGCTTTCCTGAAGAATTCACCAGGGGCGCAACAAAGAAATCTCATTAGTGGAGAAAAGGCGGGGAACCGTGTAATCACTGGTGTCCGCTGGGTCGGACATGAACCCGACGATAGACAGTAGCCATGAAGAGTGAATGGGGCATGCGGAACCATCATGGGGAACTCAAGAGACTGATTAGATTAACACCGGCGTAGATGGTGCCCCTTTGATGTGGCTCTTTTCATGTCCCTGGTGCTGGGTTCACATATTTGCTTCCGAAGACTCATTGCTGCCTGAATCAAACAGTTGAGATGTTGCACTCCATGCCTTTTTCATCTCTGTCCCTAACAATATTGAAACTGGTTATTACTAAGGAAGGAGTTGGCCTTCGTTTTTCTCTGCAACAAACAAGGCTTCTCCTTAGCAGCAGTGTAAGGTCCCTCAGAGGATCCAGGCTCCGTTATGTCAGCGTGCTGTGTAGTTTTGGCACCGTGATGCTGGCAGTCAAACAGATACATGCACTTATTCCACAAGGCGAGGGGTAGTTTCTGGTTCGGCTTGGCTCATTACAGATATTTCCAGTAAGGATAAGGAAATAATTATGTGCCTGAAAAGCTACTTGTTCCAACAGGAAATTTCCAGCATGCCCTGCTCTTTCGTAAGGTGGGTTTGCCCATGTTTGTCAGTTGTCTGTAAGGAAAGTTATGGTAGCACAAGCTCACTTGAAATGTGACCATGTACGTGATGTCATAGCCGTGCAGGGGACAGCAGCAGAAGGTAGCATATCAGTCTGTCCTACTATACAACCCAGCATGGGCTTGCAAGGAGTATGGTGTCGACTGGGCCCTTGAATCCAGGTGCTACACAAAATTAAACTACATCTGTGTAAAGGATTTAACTATTTAAAGAGTTTCCAAACCTGTGGCAATATAAGATTTCCAAACAGGATATGAGGTGGGTTCAGTGTTCTGTGTGGTTTGTGTTTACGGAGTGGATCGTTAATACGGTCCGATTCCATAGAGAGATATGTGAACAGTTTTAACTTGAAGAGCAGATGGATCACAAACACTTTCTCTTTGGCCTGTGAGAAGTAAAACACACCGTGTACCTGGACCTTGAGGCCCCAGACTTATACATGGTGCTGGGTGTGTCTTGTCCCGGGCCCCTGGACTCCGAGTTGCAGCCTACTTTGAGGATTTCTGGGACTATTGTTCGAGGGGCTTTGGGCTTGGAAGATATTGATCTAGTCCATCCCCACTTACTAGACACACACACCAATGGGCTCATTGGTTGCCCACCTTTGCATTGAATGATGTACTTGCGTCTTATAAAGGAGATAAGCGACAGTGTTTCATATCTTGCCCTATAACCCATTTCCTGTTCGGATAACTATGCCATATGAATCTATATGAATACAACATAATAACATAAATACTTCCGTAACTGATGGAATATTTTTAACAATAATGGAAAAATCTGAAAGCCGTCCATCATTTTGACAGATTAAAACAATTTACCATAACTTTAGTGTAATTCACACCCCTGTCCAGTTGGTGGCGAGTTTGCCTATTAATTAGGTATTGTCTAGTCTTGTCTAGTGGATCTCAGATGCATGACCATGTTGTTTTATAGCAATGAAACTTGCTAATTGGCTGACTACAAGCACTGGCGCTAACTTGGAAGTCACATGGGGTGTGCTGGGAAAAGAGCTTGAAGTAGTGGAGCAAAAACTGAGCACATGGGGTTATTTCTGCATCCTAGTTTCTTTTTCAGGATTAACCTTTTTGCTGGTGTCTTCATATTTCTACATTGGAAAATTCAATCAATAACTGATATGCTTTTGAATATTATCACCAGTGCCTGCGGTGAATCTTGCCAGGGCGTATTGGCGGAATAACGCTGCATCATTTTCTCATTTTAAAATGATTGATGAATCTGGTGGACATATTTAATAATGATTATAAGCATGTTGTACAAGTAAAAACCTGTGTCCCATTTTGATTGCAATTCATACCTCCAATAACTAACAAAACGACTTGTTCATCCTCCATTATTTGGGGTGGTGATTGTTTCGTGTGAAATTACGCGTAAAGCTTAACCTACAAGTTTTTTGCGTCCCTCATACTTATTTAACATAAAGGTTACAGTTTCTGTGGTAGATTGGGGAAGCAGCACAAGAGAGCGGCCGGGAGCTACAGAAGTTTGAGGCGACGCAGAACTAGGTTCCTGAATTCCGGTGGGAAAGCCTCTATACTGATAACGTGTATCAGCAAAAGCACTGTGGGGGGAAAAAATCATTCATCTGCTTTGACATGTGTTGTGTTGACATGAAGAGTGACCGCATGGTTGGTGTCTCTGTTCATCTTTTCTCTCTGTCCCCACATAAATGCATGAAGGTCTGTTCTGTATATTAATCATTTAAAAATGAAAATGAATGAATGAAAATGATATTAAATATGTCTTATCATTAAAATATGCAAATTAAAATGACAGGTCATAATGGATTATGACAGAATTTTTATGGCCCTGTCCATCAAAATGACAGACAACAAGAAAATCTAAGCTATGAATTGCATCATCTTCTGACAAAACAGTTTACATACAAACTTTGATATTGTGCTTGAAGCCTGCAATATGGCAGTTTACATATACTAGCTTGGAGGCCTGCCTCACAGATGGACTCACAGATGACTATGACCGTTTTACCCTTTGCTTTTGTTACTATAATATTAGCATCCCCCTTGGGGGGGGGGGGGGGGGGGGGGGAGTGATGTGGGCAGCCAGTTGACATTGAACCCCCAGGGGATTTTTCTCCCATACTTGGGAATTTTTGGTGCCTCTTCTCCTTTGTTTTCTGGCATTCTTTCTTTCCCACTTCCCAGTTCCATGCACCATTTTTTAAATTTCATATGATGTGTTAACGTATTACCCCGCAGTGAAATGCCTTATATAATATGGTGGAAGAATCAGGGGATTATATAGATTGTGTTTTTCCTGATATATGTTAGACTGTAAAAAAATGAATGTGCAGAAATTTACAGGCAAGGGTGAGAGAGGTAACGAGTTACTACTGTAGGTAACAATGACCCTAAATACCTCATGTGATAAAACAAGTTGGTGGGACGTAATGATGATTTTCAAATTAAGACGTTGCTAGATGGGCTTACTCATTCTGCACTGAGAAAATACCCAGCCAGTCACAAAGACTATCTCACTGGAAAGAAAAGTTTAAGAAAAGTTAACAAGAAGAGCTGAAATCCATCTAGAAGGAAGTGTGGCTGTTTGCCTTCACTTTGTTCGTGTCACCATGCGATGCTGCACCTGCCTAACAACTCCCCCCCCCCTCCCCCCCATTCCAGTCTACTACCGTGCTCTGGTGAACTTCACCAACTCCTTTGTGTACGGACCAGAGCTTGAAGACATCAACTCCCCCCTTTTCAAGGAAATCACAGATGCTGTTGTGGACACGGTGTGTACACCGCCATCCATCAAGCAGATGCAGATGTTGGTTTGGTTCTGCCAGTTTTCACATGGCCTGTGCTGCCAGGGAATTTCACTGTTTTCCCAGAGCCTCTTGTCCCTACTGACTACATTACAGCATATTTTGCTTAAGTGTACATTATTGAGTAGTAGCGTTACATCTGTCTCTTCCCTCCCTATTTATCAGTAAAATGAGTCATATTAACATAGTAGAGTGCTGAATCATACCTGGATGTACATTAAGTTTTACTGCAAAATGAAAGAATCCAATAATAACTGAATCTTTTATTTGCTGGGCTTTTACTGTAGTCTTTACTGGATACAAATCTGTTTTTAACTTTGGCTCTTTTGGTAATGACAGTATTATTGCATTTACATTTAATCCATTATTAAGTATAAAATAAATTTTGCATTGACATGATAATCGCTTCAGTATTACTTTTGCATTGGACGAGGTTATTATTTTAGCTGGTCATTGATTTTATGGGAGTGTTAAATCAGCGTGCTGTTTCCTTGTTTTTCCTACAGCTGGAGTCTGAATACAACAAGATACCTGGATCCCAGACAGTCAACGTGATTATCATCAAGTGAGGACTTTCTTCGTACATTTGTATATTTTGAGAGCATGAGTGATTGTCAAAACACTGGTCAGTGGTTCAAAACATTATAATACTGTGCTCATGCACTGGGAATTGTCATACTGATGTAATGCTATCAAACTGCAACATGATTCGATAACATCATCATAAAGAATGTGATGTCACCGCTAATATGTGTATGATAAAACCTGCCGCATCACGGCCCCTGACAATGTTTGAGGTTCCATAAACATGCACAGCCCTGACCCACACGGTCCTTTGCTCTTCAGAAAGCTGGGGAATAACGTGTTTGTGGAACTGGACGTGGGATCGGAAGTGAATATGAACACAGAGCAGATCCGCAACGTCCTGTTCTCCGTGGTTAAGGAGGGCTCCATTGCGTCCTACATCACATCCGTGCACGGATTCCAGTTCCGGCGTCTGGGAGGTGAGAGTTGGGGGAGGTTCCGGGGACCTGTCAGTGGGTCTCTGCAAATGAAGAAACCCTCCGAACACTGCAGGTGCAAGAGTGAACAGTCAGAGCAATATGAAATTTGCAATACAGAAGATACTAAACAGGACATTTAATTTTTGATGACCTTTAATTCAGAAGCAAAAAATGCTGTCAGTTTAGTGTAATACCACTGAAGTGCTCACCACATCATTGCTTTGTGTAGTTTTATGAAGTCCTTCAGGTTATTTGGGCATAAACCGAATTTGACTGTTAACAATAACAAAGGTGTGATTGCACACGTGGTACAGAGTTGTTTAGTGGTGAAATGTTCTGATGAATGAAACTGCAGGTGGAGATCTGGAGAGTTCTGTTGACACGCCTCTCCTGGTGTCAGTAGAGCCCATATCATTCCCAGGTTTGTGACGTCTGGAGTGCAGCTGACAGAATCGCAGATCATTCCCTGTCTGCTCTTTTGCATCCGCATGACTAATATTGGCCTTGATGTCTGCTCTTCTGAAGCTCACTTGCAGACAGATGCATTCGATAACTCCACGTAACTGTATGCCTGGGAATGTGAAGACTTTTACTTAAACAACTATAGTGTTTAAGGTGATAGTACAATGACTCAGTAAGTAGCATCCTGCCCTAACATGTAGAGGACTATGGATTTGATTCCCACCTGCCCAGTTTATATAGGGTTTGTATTGTGTCCCAGTGTTTGTGTGGTTTTCCTCTAGGTATTCCACATGCAGAGAGGGGAATCGGTCTCCCCAAATAGCCCTTTGTGTGTGTGCCCTGTGATGGACTGTCATCCCCTCTGAAACTCTTTGCCATGTTTTGTGGATTCTTTGCGGTTGAAGCTTGGTATTCATCACTTACAAGCAAAGATGTTGTATGTGGCTGTCCATTAACTTAAAGCCTGTCTAGCCACAGTGTTCAAAATTAACCATAATAAACAGATTGCTGGGTTCATGTGAGGGATTAGACATTCTTTACCTTTAGAAGGTATTTGAAGAACTTGTGGCCAGAAAGTTCTCTATCCTGAGTCAGTTTGGTCAACCTCATCTGGACCCGAAAGGCCTTTTAAAATAATGCATCCTTGCAGATGATGGTGTTGCACTTTCCGCTGCTTGGCCACATGTTCGTGAAGTGAGACCTCTGTCTTTCCTCCAGTCCAAGTTGATGACAATCGACAGCCCTGCACCGATTCCGAGTTTACCTGCCGGGATGGTGAGTGCATTCCATCAGAGTACCGCTGTGACAAGAGGCACGACTGCAGGGACATGAGCGATGAATCTGACTGTGGTGAGTCATATGGATGTTTGATGTCTGTGGAGTAGGTGCTTCCAACCACTGGTCTGCACTAAGTACTCCACTAGCCCATGGAACGCTATACATTTTAAGCCACACCCCTTTTTATGACCTGTGAAGCTTGTGCATTTTGATTGCATTGGATGTGACCGGACTTCAAAGTTAACCAACAGATGATGCTGTGTAGTGCTCTATAAATAACATATGCCTTAATATTGATACTATTGTTATTACTGTTGTTCTGTAGCTGGTTGCTACTGAATCATTTATAAACTATGGCATTCAGAATTGATCAGTTGCATATTTATTAAGATTAAGATAAACATAGTGTTGTTGTCCAGTTGCATAGTCATTAAGATTAAGATAAACATAATGCAGCCCGGTGGGAAATTTTGTGCAAACAGCAGTGAATATGTAGAGCACAGACGAACTTACATATAATGCAAAACAAAGTGCAACGATGGTACACGGAGTGCTAATGAAAAAAAAGTATGCAGTATATAAATTGTGATATCTAAGGGAAATTGCATTGTTTTGAATGCATCTGTTTCTGCTGTGAGATACATTTACGCTGTGAGCCTGATTTTCCGCTGATAAAATCATCATCATGTGTCCCAGTCTTAGCAGGTCCACGGCCACCTGTCCTCAAGCCCCCTGTGCTAAGGCCCTGCAGAGCAGACCAGGCCACCTGCCAGAACGGACAGTGCATCCCTCGCGACTACCTCTGCGATGGGGAGCGGGACTGCTCCGACGGCAGCGACGAGCTCGCCTGTGGTGTGTTGCCGTGATCAAGGAGCACGCCAGCTCTGCTTGTCGCCACAACCTTACATGCCGTAGACAGAAAGGACACTTTACACCAGGGTTCCCCAACAGGAAGACTGCGAGCTGAATCTAATGTTTATCCCGCGCAAAATTTTTACGTGCATCAGTGTAATGACGCTTAGGCTACACTTCATGTGTAAGTCTGACAATAATGACGAAAAGAAAAGGCCACTAAAAAAACAACGTAAAGTCAACAATAAAAAGAAACTATTCAAGTCTGACTGGACTGACCAATTTACCTGACCATGCCACTGCTAAGCCAACTGCAAGTAATGTTAGCTAACAGTCATACCAGCATAACATCGGGGGCAGTGGTCTTTGGCTTTGTTTTGTTCTTAATTTTTCCCCAAGGGCCAAATTCTATTGGCGGACCCAAGCTTATATGTTCACCCGAACATAACGCCATGATTGCCTTCACGCTCACAGGAAAGCATGCATTAAGGTTGGGTCACCCCATGACGTCATGTGTCACCCGCAGGTACCCCATCTCCCTGCGAACCCAATGAGTTCAAATGCCAGAACGGACACTGTGCCCTGAAGCTGTGGCGATGTGACGGGGACAACGACTGCGGGGACAACTCCGACGAGAGCTACTGCCGTGAGTCTCAGCCGCGCTGCTGTAGTCGCTGCCTCCACATCAACACCCAGAACAATCTGGGCATCCAGTCGTCATTTTCAATCTGCTTTTGTCATTTTGTCATTTTAGCATTAGTAAACTGTGAAAAGTACAGTGTCACTTGGTAAAAAATACAGGATTATCGAGTCAAGTGAGCTTTGTCATACCATCCATATACTGATATACAGTAGCCCACCCATATCTGCGGCTGATACATTCCTGTGGATGGCTGAATCCACAGATAACAGCAATCCCATGGACCCATATATAGCGTGATTTTCATGTACATACGTATGGTTTAACTGATAGATTACGCACGGTTAGACATTACCAACATTAAATACGGCAGTAATAAAGTACATTCTACATTATTATAGAGTACTGTACCCTTTCTCTGGAATGAAAGGAACTCATTTTAGCCTGATTCTCAAGAGATGATAGAGCAATAAAAAAAACTTTATATATCAATGGATGGTGGAGTAATGAAAATAATGCTTTTTATATCCCTCAGAGGATGAAGGAGCAATGAAAAACATATTGTTACACATTTTACAATGAAAAGTATTATATAATGTACTTGTATGTAACCTGTACTGGTGGGCTGCTGGATCTCACCATGTTGCAGCCTGTACTTGCTTCATGCACAATTTGAAACTTAGGAAGTGTTTATTTCTGGAATTTTCCAATATATATATATATATTTTTGGACCTCAGTACACCACAGATAACTGAAACCATGGTTACTGAAACGGTGAATACAGGCCTTCCACTGTACAGTGGCATGAACTAGTGCTCCCCCAGGACCACATTGCAAAGTACAACAGCAGTGATGGGGAGGATTCCACAAAACTTAAAGTGCAAAACACAAGACAGCTTGAAAACGGGGGGGGGGGGGCTGGACACCAGGGTTTATACAGACAGTGCAACGTATAATATGGAAACAAGAAGTAAGTAACATAATGGTGATGACTGAAAATGAACAATTAATGAATAAATAATAATAAGTTAAAGTTGGGGAGAGTAACCTTTGGAACGGGAGGGAGGTGAGGTGGACAGCAGGGAATTTAATGTCCGTAAGCCTCGGGGAAGAAACTGTTGCTGAACTTGGCAGAACTGACAGATCAGAGTAAATGTTTAACATGTACTGTACAGCGCGGGAGTTTGCGTTAAACCTTGGGGTCCTTTTGCTCATGCAGCCGTGAAGAGCCCTGGGGACACCTGTGCCCCGGAGCAGTTTGTGTGCGTCAGGGATCGTACATGTATCCCAGCCAGCTACCAGTGTGACGAGGAGCCTGACTGCCCCGACCGCTCCGACGAGATCGGCTGCAGTAAGTGCGTCGGACCTCAGCACTCGACCCCCGCCCCCAGCTCTCACGCCGGTATGCCGACCGCTATGTGTGCCGCTCCCCAGCTCCACCGACGATCACCAGCCCCCCCGAGGAGTCCGTCATGGCCATGCGAGGGGAGACCGTCACCTTCACCTGCAAGGCCGTCGGGGTGCCGACTCCCATAATCACCTGGAGGCTCAACTGGGGCCACATTCCCAACAGCAGCAGGTTTGTCCGGCCAACGGTTGGGCTTCCATCTAGAAGTAATAAGGGCTGCTCCTGAGTACACTGCTGCTGTACATCTGGGCAAGAACTCAAATTCCCCCACTAGAAATCCAGCAGGAAGAACTAGGAATGTAGATCAGCCATTTTTCCCAAATAATATCATGCGCTAATCTTTCATAAATAAGTTAAAATGTAAACTTGGGTTGGCCAATTTAAACAAGCACAATCCAAACAAGGCCACTTGTCAGATAACTTGACTTGTTGCTAACCACACAAATCCTTCCATTGTTCCATCGCAAATGCTTTAATATACTAATGTTAAAACTGCATGAAACATCTTTGAATAACAGCATAGTGAAGTTTCAGAGATAATAAAGAGAACATTAATCACCAGGTAATGAACGCATTTAACTAGGGATTTGCTAATGCCATTTTATTTATCGACATTCATTTGATGTTACTAAATAATCAGCTGATTAATGTTATTAAATAATCTACTGACATCCATTAAACCCACAAAAGCGAGATCTGATAATATGCTGCATATTTAAGGCATTGTTCTGTGGGTAATTTTCATATATTATGGTGCTACTTAATAATAGAGCCTTTTCTCTATTCATGATGTAAACATTAGCATGTGAGTGATATTTGTAATTTAATATTTGCTCGGTTCTGAGTAGTCAGTGGCCCTCCAGTTAATTTTGACGTGATGCTTGGTTGCTGTATGCTCAGGATCAGCATGGCCAGTGTGAATGGGCACGGCACCCTAACCATCCAGGACGTGAAGGACGGTGATCAGGGGGCGTACACCTGCGAGGCCATCAATGCCAAGGGAATGGTGTTCGGCATCCCCGATGGGGTCCTGACCGTCAAACCAAACACCGGTAGGCCACATAGCCACTACAGAACAGTATTTGTATGCTACCTACTGAATTAATATCATAATTTACTTCAACAGTAAAGTACAACAAAGTATGACAAATGTACCACAGCCTTTGATGATAATTTAGTAAAACAGGAACAAATGTCTAATAGAAAGGAATGATGCATAAAGAAAACAGATGCTTTGCATCAAGGGAAAATATCTGCAGTGCAGTATGTTGGGCCAAAACAAACAAATAAATGCATCACGCACAAGGTCCACGGTGCTTGTGTGGTTTCTCACAAGTCCCAGTTCATGCGTAGGAAGAAGAAACATCTCTAGTAATATCGAATCCAAGGACAAAGCTGTAAAAAAGGACTATAATGTTCAAAGCTCCATGTTTGTGATTCATTGTCTTGCCCATCATTTAGTGTTGATGGGCACGCAGAACTTCATTACCGGGTGCACGATTTGCATTCTGAGACACAAACATCGGTCTTATGACATACTGCTACTGAAAATGGTCGCACAATGCATCGTGAAATGAAGGGTGTGCTGACCAGGAAAATTGTTCAGAACTACTGACCTTCTCGTGTGAATATCACAACGTGATTCTTTTTTTAAAAACCAAAAACTGCCTGTGTACAAATGAATGTGTTTTTGGAATGAAATCTGATTGATAACCCTTAATAATAACTCTACAGAATTCTGAATTCTGGATTCTTCTTTAATCTTCTTATTGTAGCGGGCCACTGTACCGGCGGCCACTTTGGTGCGGGTGACGGCTCCGCCTGCATCCCCTGCTTCTGCTTCGGCATCACCAAAAACTGCCAGAACACCGGACGACACCGCAACCAGATCAGGCTTCGATTCACGGAGGAGGACAATTTCAAGGGTACGGTGCTGTGACGAGACGAAACTCCTAATTATGATGGGATTATTATGACCCTCGGACGAACTTCAAAAGGCCATCGCAGCTTTCAGTCTGAGGGCATAAAGCACTTCTTCCCCACAACAGGTGTTAACGTCTCGTTCCCGTCCCGGCCCGCCTCACCTCCTCTCTCCTCCACCCAACTTCTGATTAATACTGAAGTGGAGGAGTTCCAGCTGGTGGATCTATCCCGACGCTTCCTCAGCCTGGAGTCCTTCTGGACATTACCGTCCCAGTTTCTAGGCAACAAGGTGGACAACGTGTCCCTCCGAAGGGGACAGGGGCTGGCTGCTCAGATAAAATGCTCCTAGGGCAGGAGTGACTATAGGATTTTTTTAAGGTGTGGGACATAAGAGGGACCATAATTCATACAGAGGGGCCAACCTTATCATTAGCCAATGATATGCTTTGAATCAGTGAGTAACGGGGCAGGGGCACTCCAGGGGCCAATCAGCTTTCAGCAAGCCAGTGTCCCTGTGGTCTCGCCCCTATATATACCCCTGAGACAGAGGATCTTTGAGTTTGAGTTTGAGGTTATTGCCTTATCTACTTGAGTACAATGAGCTGCTTACCTGCAGACTGTCAGTTGCTAGAATCAACACAGAATAAAAACAGGAGACAATGAGCCAAAGAACACAAACAAATAGTGAATGCACTACAGCTGTTAAAGCTCAGATTTATATGTTGTGCTGCCCATTACCTGAAGAGTGAAGGCAGCAATTGCCTGTGTTAAGGTGGACTCCTATGGCGGATCCCTGAACTACAAGGTGCGTTTCACCCTGGCTCGAGGGGAGACAGAACCCGTGCAAAAACCAGACGTGGTGCTGGTGGGTAACGGCCAGAAGCTGATCTATCGCCGGACCAGTCCCACAAGTCCTAGGATAACCAACGAGAGGGAAATTAAGTTCACAGAGGTGAGCTTTGAAAGCTTTTTTCTCTGTAGAAAATAACCATAAAGACCCCCTTTCCTTGACAGGGACACTTCTGGCAAACAATGAAAGTCAATCTCTTAAAGTTGTACTAGGCTGTCTTGTTTTGGGAGTATTAATTAATGGCAGTACCTTTGTTTTGTTGGAGAGAATGTCCTACCAGATGATGATTTTATGCTGCAAATAGGTGTTTTAAGGTGTGCGAGCTTCATTTCTAACAGTCGATTATGTGACATCTTAGGAAAACTGGCAGCATGCGTCAGGACGACTGGTCACTCGCGAGGACCTGATGATGACGCTGGTTAACCTAGAGAGCATCAATATTCGCACCACCTATGACAACCGCATGGTGAGCGTGGCCCTCCGTGACATTGTCATGGACACCACTACCGTGGAATTCAGCGGCCAGGGCCCCGCCAATGACGTGGAGCAGTGCAGGTGAGTCTCTTTTCTGTCACACGGGCGAGCTACGTGTAACCTCATTGGACACTAGAATAGAATAGAATACAAACTTTATTGCAGCTGAGTCTGGTGGAAATTGGTGCTGGTTGAGTGACAATAGTACAGAGAATACGAGTTGGAAGCGTTAGAATGACTTGAACTTGATAATGTCTGTGAATGATGTCCAGTTTCAGGCCTGCCTACATTCATCAGAAGGTTTTGTACTAAGAGCTATGAAGCCTGTTTTACTCACACTGATATCGGCTAGGATTTACTTGCTATTTCCTTTACTGGTTAAGCTATGCTGTGGAGTATTATGTAACAGCTCTTTGGTTTTTTGACTGTCAGTGGTTAGGAAAACAAAAAAACAAACTGTTGCATTTTGAGCACCCCTGTTGCTGGATTTTGCATGTTCTAAGAGTATGGCATCCCTGAGACTAGTGTTTGCCTGCCCACAGGTGTCCCCCAGGCTATTCGGGCCTGTCCTGTGAGTCGTGTGCCTCTGGTTTTGAGCGGGTGTCTGGCGGTTCCTACCTCGGTAGCTGTGCTGGCTGCAACTGCAATGGACACGCCAGCGCCTGCGACCCTATCAGCGGACACTGCTTGGTGAGGCCTCTCTCAGAACACAGTCAGATTTGCAGACATTTTTTAAGGTGAGGGGCATAAGAGGGGTCGTCATTCATACAGAGGGGCCAATTTTATCATTAGCCAATGACATGTTTTAAATCACTGAGTGAAAGGGGAGGGGCACTTCAGGGGCCAATCAGTTTTCAGCAGGAGCTTGTGCCCCTGTGACCCCGCCCCTGGATGTGCCCCTGCTTGCAGGTCATGACCTATTTCACGTATTCTGCTGCATATAATGCCTTTAGCATTTATCTCAGTTTATACTTCTTGGTGAGACTGAAACTGAGGTTGCCGACTTGGACTTCCTCAGAGCTGCCAGCACAACACTGAGGGGCCACAGTGTAACAAATGTCGACCGGGCTACTTCGGCGACCCGACCCGTGGGCGATCGGATGACTGCAAGCCCTGCCCATGCCCATACATTGAGACCTCCCGTCGGTAAGTCCCCACGAGCCCAACACACAAGGCCAGAGTGACATAGACCAAAAGTCTGAAAGCCCAGACACCAGATAGAATCAACAAAATAACAAAATCATGTTACATTGAACTATCTTTGAATGTTCTTTAATGTTGTGCTGTTTAATGCTATGTTATTTGACGTTTTAAATGTTATTTTCTTGCAATAAGTTCGTATAATAACTCATATCGCGTGTGCATGTATACATTTACAATAATGTTGACTTCGCCTGACTCTTCACGCTAAAATGTGACCCATGATTGTGGCAGACAGTTTGCTCATGTAATTGTTTATTTTCCAGCTTCTCGGATACCTGTTTCCTGGATTCCGACTCCCAGGCAACATGTGATGCCTGCAGGCCGGGATACACGGGCCGACGTTGTGAGAAGTAAGGAAGTCGGAGTGCAAATGGCTGCCTCAGTCTGCCTCCTGACTCATGAGTCGTATTACAGCCTTATGCAGGGAGGCAGTGTGTGGCTTATAGACTCTGTGCCCATGATGGGAAGGTCGCTGGTTTGAATGCCAGAACTGGCAGACCGATGCCGCCATTGGGCCCCTCAACAAGGCCCTTAACCCCCAGTTGTTCCAGGGTGTGTTGCAAGCTGGCTGACTCTGTGCGGTCAGACCCAAGTTACTCTCACCTGTATGTGTGTCTCATGGAGAGCAAGACGGGGTAGGCAAAAAGACAATATCCCCCATGGGGATCAATAAAGTGTCTGTATTCATAATTTATTCATAATAACAGGATGCTGGTGGTGTGGGCTGGGGTTTTGTATTATTGATCTGATTGATTTATGTGCTGTTTTCTCTGCGTCTGTGTTTCTCAGGTGTGCACCCGGATATCACGGTAACCCACTTCAGCCCAACGGCAAGTGTGTTCCCCAAAGTGAGTGTATTTCTTGCTTTACTGGTCTTACATTTAACGCTACAGAGTCGTACTGAGGCCAAGTTCTTATGGCTGCATGGAAAACACACGCAGTGGCTCCCTGGCAAGAGCCCACTCAGTACATTCTAGGGTTAATGGCTATAACCGCGTTCCAATGTGAAAGTATGTGAATTATCTCTCTAGCACAAGTCAGCCCTTAACCCCGCCCTGTTTCCCAACATGGTTAGCTCAAGGCCAGTGCGACAACAGAGGGACTATATCCTCAAGCAGCAGACCATGCAGATGCAAGGTAATTGCGGCAGCTGAAGTGATGCACACATAATGGTTTTAATATCTACTCTTATGTGATACATTCTTCACACAGCCTAGGGAAAGCTCACCAAATCCTTAGCTCTTATAAGTGCACTGTAAAGCGGGAACTAAAAAAAGCAGAGCTCTGACGCAGAGCACTGATGAATAATTACACGTCTTGTGCTTTTTGCACCCTAAAGCAGTATTTGCTTAAATGCAGAGGAGGCATAAATCATAGATTGAAATCATTCTGTTTATAAATGAGTCAGTAAGTCACTGTCTCCAGACAGACAGGGGATGTTGTCCTCTGCTGCAGATATGGGGAGTGCCCCGTATGTAAGGGACCCCTGTTGTTGTGAGGCTAAGCGTGACTCTGCCCTACAGTCCAACGTGGTGGGCGCACTGTGCGACGAATGTAGGAGCAGCTCCTTCCACTTGACCGAGGACAACCCAGACGGCTGCTTGCAGTGCTTCTGCATGGGCGTGACCAAGCAGTGCACCAGCTCCACATGGAGCAGGGACCAGGTCAGTCTTGAACTCAGCACATCTGTGATGTCACTGGGTGGTCAAGCCTGGATTAGACCACATGAAGCACACTGCGGTGGTTCACACATAGGCTGGTTTGCACCAACATTGATTAAATTAATCCTGGTTTAGACTTAATCTAGGGTTAGTAAATCAAGGATTAAACTGGTGTTTAATTAATCAGAGACGAGTTGCTTTTCTTCATTTTAATCCTGGATTAGTTAAACTAGTTTAAACTACGACTAAAATAGGATTCATTTAGGTGCAGTGTCCACCATGATGCATTCCGACGAAACGTAAACAAATTCACAATGCATCCTAGGTTAAATGAATATGGCCGTAACTGTCTTGTTAACTTTTAAAAAATAAAAGCCGCTACTTCTACCACACTTTTGCTTGAGTTATGCTTACCTTAAATTTTCTCTTGGACATTAATCGAGCAGTAGTCCCTTCAATTACAAAAAATTCCCCATTTTCACCACCGGGGTTAGTAATCAAAATAAGCATAGGAGAAGGGAGACAGGTTAGACGTCATACATTATTTCATATGAATCATGAGAACAGTGGAGGACAATAAAGTTGTTTCATTAGTTCTTTGTTAGATATTGGGGGGATCGATCGCAATCAAAACAAGACAGATTGTTATTTATATTTTACTAAGGTGACCCGCGCCATGTTCACGATTCTTATTAAATCTGGCCAGCAGATCGATCTTTCGTGCAGCCTTATCCTGCTAATAAGTGTTGGCAAGTTTAACTGGGTGCACCAGCAATATTAGATAAAAATATATTGGTTAGTGATCTGATTTTCCAATGCAGAAATATGGAAACACAAGCAAAAATTTATTAATTGATCCATTAAATGTAACTGGGGTACAAAAATAATTCAGTCTGTTTTTCTGCATTTCCGCATAACTTCCATGTAAGCCTCGGTGCTTGTGGTCAACCAATCAACTAGCTATGGCAGTGTGAAAGGGCATATTTCTGCAGACTGTGAACTCCCACCTGAAAACCCAAAGCTGCTAGGAGCTGCAGAAGTGGAGGTACTGCAGAGCTCCTCTCACTTCCATGCATGATAGCTGGTCCAACCTTCCCACTGAGGTACATGACTAAGTCTTTTATAAGGTTCTACCACAGGGAAAACTCACTATTGCTCTTTAAAAATATTCAGTAGGGTTTAACCTACATGGGACTCTTTCCTCCAATCCCATCCAGCAAAGAAATGTAGCCATATTGTCAAAAAAACTGAAACAGACCTAACATAAACCTCCTCAAGGGGTGGTTTAAATATGACTGCTAATCCAGCTTTATGCTCTATTTAAATTCACTGTGCAAAAGACTTGAATTTAATCTAGGTTTAGTGGAAATTAAACTAAAATTGACAAAGGTTTAGATTTAACCAAGATTAATTGTAAAATAAATTTAAACTAGGTTTAAAGTTTGGTTCAACAGGATTAGTACATAAGTCTTGATTTAATCCAGTTTAAAAGTTAAACCATGTTGGTGCAACCCAGCCATAAAGCATCATCTTATAAGGATCTAGAACAGATCATGTTAAGATAGACGTTCTCGTATCCAAGTGTTAAGCTGATGCCTGGACTTGTTCCACACCTGAGCCATTCTGTTCTAGCGAGTAGCAGGTGTAGTGCATTAGTCATCAAAGTGAATTAGTCATCGTGTCTGCAGACACATCCTTTCCTTGCTTAGACATGTTCATCAGACTGTAGTCTGGCCATGGTCTTATATAGCCTGTTATACGAAGGTGTTGTAAGAATTATAGGTGATATTAGAAGATTCCAGACTTTGAATTGGCCCTGTTAAAATGTGCAGATGTCACTCAGTGCGGAAGCAGCTGTGGCAGATTCCATGTGAGTAAGAGGCATTCTGTTGGGGTGTCAGGTGCGGGGGGGCGTGAATGGGCAGCTCTTCAGCCTGGCCAATGCGGCTCACACGCGCACCATCAGCGACGGCATCGGCCAGCGCGGCGGCTCCGAGGTCATCTTCCGCTTCTCCACGCACGTCCCCCACGACGTCTTATTTTGGGTCCTTCCTGAGAGCTTTCGGGGAGATAAGGTATGTAGATCTTACCTCCGCCCCTCCTGCTGCCTCGTACTGTCCTCTCTCTGCTCGTGTCGACCTCATCATAGAGGGCTCATTACAGATCGCCTGTTTCCAAGGCCGTAGCTGGGAATTCTGGGCCCCCGACAAAATGTCACCATGGACACCCCCCCCCCCCCCACTAGGGTTGCCACTTGCGATCTGAAGAAATACAGGTTCCCAACAGTAGATGGAATTCGCCGGTAGGGGGGGGTTGCCCAGGGTGGAATTTGTAGAGCGGAGGTATAATGTTTCCCAAATGTACCCATGCCCCCCCGAGAGCCCCTACTTCTCACAGTGTAGTTTCCGAAAGATATTTAGTTAGTGACTAAAATATCCCAATATGATGTCAAATAGGGTTGGGTGATTAATGCATTATTACAGGATGTGAAACGATAGCTATGATTGACTCAACTGAACAGCTTGTATTAAGATTTTGTACAAAACAAAAAGCATTAAGCAGATCTGAGCACATCTTCCTGCTTGGGCCTCATTCCACTCATAATTATCTACTATGTAACGTCCCGTTTTAGTCAGTTTTCGCTCTTAGACCATCTGTGCGGTGGATGAGTTTGCCGGGGTCCTTGCCAGGTCACGGCCTACGGCGGAGAGCTTCGCTACACCGTGAGCTACGTACCGCGCCAGCACTCGGCGCCGATCGAGGGCCAGCCGGATGTGGTCCTCCAAGGCAACGGCATCATGCTGGAGCACTACTCCAGCACCAAGCCCACCCCCCACGTCGCCACAGTCATCACCGTGCCCTTCAGAGAGGTGCGTGCACACGACCTTCAGGCTTAGATAGCAAGGATGCATCATAGTCTTCTGGACAATTTGCTAATCTTTCTCCGCATATTATTTTGTAATTATTTTGATCGATAAACTTATTTTCTACCATCTACTCCATCTTCTCTGCTCAATAAAAGTAACACTTATTGAAGTGTCATTGCACATGTCCCGTTTTCTCATCTTCCATGCAGTCGGAATGGAAACGGTCTGACAGGCAGCCCTGCACACGCGAGCACCTGCTGATGGCCCTTGCTGACATCACAGTCTTTATGATCCGGGCCACCTACGCGAACAGCATGACGGAGACTGGGTATGGGCTTGGGACAGACTGCAGGGGGCCTGAGGCGGATTGAGAGTCCCAAGACTAGACTGCTGACATTATGTGAAAGGCTGACATTTCTCTCTGCAGACACATGAATTCTGCTCATTTATGTATCTTATATATCCGTCTTATTAAGTCCCTAAATGTCCACAACGGCCCGTTTGAGTTCTTGCTAGTGCTCCTTCATTTATCTATTTTTGGTTTTCCCTGTAGTATTGCAGATATTTGGATGGACATTGCAGTCCCCCACTCCACAGGAAATGAGCGTGCTCTAGAGGTGGAGGAGTGCGCCTGCCCTCAGGGTTACAGAGGTCCTTCATGCCAGGTGAGTTTCATCCCCAGTTCAAACAAGATTATAGAAATGTATTGAACTGTTAGTGAAATAGGCTTCACTCAGCCTTTGTGTTACATTTACAGATAAAAGATGATTCTTTACAGATTTTTCTGTTGTGCAGCAATACAGTGTTTCTCAGTCCGGCCCTCAGGGACCCACAGACGGTCCATGTTTTTGCTCCCTCCCAGACAGTCCGCATTTTTGCTCCCTCTAACCCTAACCCTAACCCTGCAGGAGTGCGATGTCGGGTACATCCGCACGGGGTCAGGACTGTACCTTGGGACCTGTGAGAGGTGCAATTGCCACGGGTATGCTACTACTTGCGATCCTGACACCGGGAACTGCCTGGTAGGTTGCGTTGCTGCTTTCCGCTGTCAGCTATAACGTGGTGAATCTGAACACATTTCTCTATATGAATTATGTACTTTATTACACTTTACATGACATTCTAATGGCTGCTTTGTTTCCCTTTTTCCATTTCCTTTGGTTTCCATCCTTCAATCTCTCAGCAATGCCAGCATAACACGGCTGGGCCACACTGTGATCGCTGTCGGCCTGGTTACTATGGCAACCCCAGGAGTGGCAGCCCAGCAGCCTGCCAGCCGTGTCCTTGCCCTGGCACCTCCCCAGACATCCAGTAAGTATTCTTCCAGACTATGCCAGCCCAGTGTATTGCTCACACACCCAGTCAGTCCATGGCAGTGTTTCCCAATCCAGACCTCGGTGACCCCCAGACAGTCTACATGTTTTAACCCTAATCCTAACCCTAATCCTAACCCTAACCCTAACCCTAAATACCTGTACCAGGTATTTAGTGTGTGGACTGTCTGGGGGTCCCCAAGCACTAGGTTGAGAAACACTGGTGGTTGATTATAACAGTTAGTGACTTTACTTAAGGTTCATTTCTTTAGACTAAAATGGACATTTGGAGTTTAGACCATGATGCTGGCCATATTGTTCAAGGGATGTGTCCATATAGGTCGATGTCACCTGGAGCCCATCCCAGGCAGCACAGGGCACAAAGCTGGGCTACACCCTGGACGGGATGCCAGCCCATCACATGGCACTTATACTCACATACAAGAGGCAGTTTAAAGACTCCAGTTAGTTTAATTACATGTCTTTGGGCTATGGGAGGAAACAGGAGTTCCAAAAAGACAGCCGCACAACACAAAGGCATGCAAGTCCTCAAAACCCTCAAACTGAGCAGAGGTTTCAAACCCCAGATGCTAGAGACACGTGGCAGTGATGGTGCCAACTGAGCCGCAGTGCCACCCTGATCTATGTGGTTACTGCCTTAAATTCCTATTCAGAGAAGCTGTTGGTGACCCTCTTAATGTCATCATGAAAGCATATTGCAGCTGGCTGCTGTTGAAAACTGTAATGAGAAAATCTGTATAAAATCCCCAGAAGATGGTCAGTCTTTTCCAAAGCAGTCATACTTATTGTACGGGTAAGCCTGCCAAACTAACCCTAACCCAAATCCTAACCCTAACCCTAACTACAGCTAGTGAAGAGCTTGTGTTGTGTCAGACTCCAGTATAAAACAATGTAATGGAAGCGGTCAATCCTTAATGCCTCAGGTTAAAACAAAATCACTTTTCGCAGATTCTCTCGGACCTGTTTCTTGGACTCTGACGGCCAGCCTACTTGTGACGGTTGTCCACCAGGCTTTACGGGCCGACGCTGTGAGAGGTAAAATCCCTACTTCACCCCCTTACACTTTTTCTGGGAACACAAAAGGTCTGAGGAGTCAAAGCCAAGGGGAATCAAAGCCAAGGGGGGTGTGGTTTTCCTTCCTTTCCTTTGTGAATCATCGGGTGGAGAGTCTTTTGACGGCTGTGCCCTCTGTGTCTCTCACCATCTCCATACTCACTGAGACAAGCACACCAGCAAGCCACAGTCACTGCCACCCAGTCCGCATGTCACATACATATTTTATGGGGTACAACGTGGACTCTGATATTGTTCCTAACAGTTTCTTACACCCATCTGATGTATTTTTATGGTGAATTGTGGGCATAGTCATTATTACGTGCTTTAAAGCACTGAAGTGGCGATTCTTGTATTTTTTTGTTGCTGGTGGAAGCTGGTCTGAACTGGTGCACCTTTTAATTAATAGGTAATAATGATGTATTTTCCAAGTTCATATTAATTTCATCTATCCACAGAAACTTATTTATTATCTATTAAATGCATTCTTACTTAGGAGCAGAAGCACATTCGTTTTTCCTTATCTGATGAAGTAGCCGTTTCCTGTGCATGATGAAAAATTGAAACAATAAAATCTCAAAGTGACAGGAAAGTATAAAGATCTCAAGGGGAAATATACCAAGAATGCTGCACTGGTACACATAGGCATGTGTGTAGCTTTAGAAGAAGCATCTTCTGAAGTGGTGATATGTCACCCATGAATCTGGTGACATGTGGCTTCATATGGCTTCTGACCTCATGTTTTTGTAACGCGGCTCTTGTATGGACAGTGCTGTTTCCCATATTGCTTTGCATGCTTTCAGCAAAGGACGTATTCTGCCATTCGCAGCAGAAATCTTTGCTTCTGGTTAAGCACTAGTGTTTGCTAGAAGGCTTTTATAACTGTTTAGTCAAACTGCAGTTTGCTTTAATAACCCTGAATTTCTTATTTGTAGAGTTCAAGCAGCCTTCGGTATTTACGCTAATGATAAGAGTTTTATAGTTTATGTGGGTTCTGTTGCTTCAGATACACGTTGTGTTTGGGCTGCTTGGTGGCATAGTAAATATGGAGGGTGTGGCAAGCAAACAAACATGGGGAAACGGTGAAATTTTCTGCATCACCATCTGGGAATGTTGATACATTGAACCTATTCTGTCACTATCCTGGACTCTCAACTTGAAAATGAAGGTCTGAAATCACTGATACCAGCCAGGACCCATTTCTGCATGGTTGCTGGTGGAGTCCCCTGCCAATCTGATGCAGTCAACCAGTGCTGACTTCAGTAATAAAGAGAACAACATGCTTCCAACTACAGCATGAAAAGAAGCTCTTCACCATAGGGCCTGCTAATGTTGACCATTCCAGAGTTCTGTCCCACAGTTTGCTGTCCTTAACCTATTACACCCCAATGCCGAAGCAGCCAACAATGCTGATAGCTCTCACAAGCCCCAGAACAACAGCTCCCCAAGTTCCTCCCCCAATAATACATTCCCAGAGGCCAATTAGCTCAGCGTCCCCTTCTTGTTGAGCTTGTATATGAGCCATTTAAACCTCAGTCTCAACACACTGTCGAGAAACAGCTTGGACATCAAAGAGGTCCTAAGGAGCATGATGACCCAGCAAGTCAACCTCAACTCCCAGCTGGAGAAGCTGGTTGATAAGCTGTCCAATAGTCAAAAGCAGCACAGGACTGCTCAACTAGAGAAGAGGTACAGCAGCATAAGAGCCAAGATAAATCAGCTGGAGGAAAGGCTTGAGACCCTTTTCGGTGGCTTTATATGAGTCCATATAAAGACTCATAGCTGGAAACAGCTGCCCTGCAATGTGGTCGATTGGAATGTTGAATGTGGTCTGTTACAAATATGCTTATACACTATAGCCAAAAGAATGTGAACACCAGCTTGTCCAACATCTCATTCCAAAACCAAGGGTATTAATATGAAGCTTGTTTGCCCTTTTTTTGCTGTAATAGCCTCTCGTCTTCTGAGAAGGCTTTCCATTAGATGTTGAAACATTGCTGGTGGGATTAGCTACCATTCAATTTTGGTATTAAAGTTGGGTCCCTTTTTGTGAGTTTGTGTGGCCTAACAACTTCATAACTAAACCTGCTCCCAGACGTTCTGACTTTCAGTCACCTCACTAGCGGTTGACCTAAGATGACGTCCTATCATGGTGGCATGTGGAACAGTCACTCTGCTGCTGTTTGTTGCAGGAGATTGTGTGACTTTGTGCTCAATTAGACACCTGTGTAAACAATGAGTGTGGCTTCATTAAGCAATTACTTGGATTGTTAGGAATGTCCAAATACTATTGGCCATATAGTGTAATTTAAGGTGATATTTGAAAAATGCTATTAATACATTTATACATTTATACTTTAAAAAAGCTATTAATACATTTATACATTTTTCTGGACTTTTTTCAAAACATTGCTGTTTTTCCTGTATAGTAGTTTGCCCATAAATATACATACCATATTTTTCGGACCATAAGACGCACCTTTTCCTCCCCCAAAAGAGGGGAGAAAAAGTCACTGCGTCTTATGGTCCGAATATTGCTCTGCTCACATGCTTTAACCCTCTGGGGTCGAATGCATAGTTGGCGACGCAGCGTACTTCTCGCGTCT